CACACACACACACACACACACACACACACACACACACACACACACACAGCCTCACCCTTCTACCAGTTTGGGACAATAGCTCCCAAGGAGAACACTAGCCTTGCATGCCCAAGGCCCTAGGTTCTAGCCCCAGCCTCAAAATCAGACCTCTTCTACTAAAGAAACTAATCTATTGGTTGTGAAGTCGAGTCCAGAGGATAAATATAAATTATTAATTTAACTCTAATAAATGGTAAATTTGAGCCTTGGGTCAACCTGGGCTTTTTTGGTCAGTCTTGACAGCAGGACAACACTAGAGTTACAGAAGAGGAAAACCTGCCTTCTCTCATCTTCCCTGTCATCCTGATATTCACCAGATAGGAGTTTTAGTAGAAAGTATCTGTGCTGGTTGGTTTTTGTTGTTGTTGTTGTTGTTGTTTGTCAACTTGAAACAAACTGAAGTCATCGGGGAAGGGAGACCATCAGTAGAGAAAACTGCCTCATTGTCCTGTAGGCAAGTCGGTGAGGCATTTTCTTGCTTAATGATTGAGGAGGGAGGGCCCAGCCCATTACGGGTGGTGTCACCCCTGGACAGGTGGTCCTGGGTCTTGGGTTGTGTAAGAAAGGTAGCTGAGAAAGCCAGTCAAGTGTTTCTCCAGTGTGTGCTTCAGTTTCTGCCTCCAAGTTCCCGCCCTGAGTTCCAGCCCTGACTTCCCTCAGTGACGAGCATGACTCGGAGGTTGGAAGATGAAATAACCCTTTCTCCCGTCCAGTTACTTTTGGTTATGGTGTTAGACACAGAAATAAACAGCAAACTAGAAGAGTATCTTAAACTAATTCTCCTTAAAACAGAAAAACAGAAAAGCCTAAATGAAAAGTCAAATAGAATCCACATCTTTAATATCACAGACAAAAAAAAAAAAAAAAGCTCAAGGATTTTCACACACTCAGACTTGGTGTTCAGACACAGTCACAAAAGTCAACAGGCAGTAGGATTATTCAATAAAAATACTGTGCTGGGAGCCGAGGGCATAACCTAGTGGTGGGACACATCTTGAGCTCAGGAGTCCATGGGTTCCATTTCTACCACCACAAAAACAAAATCCAAGTAAAAATTACTGTAACAAATGGTCATTTTTGTTTGTTTATTTGGCTGGTTGGTTGGTTGGTTTCTAGACAGGGTTTCTCTGTGTAGTTTTGGTGCCTATCCTGGATCTTGATCTGTAGACCAGGCTGGCCTCGAACTCCCAGAGATCCACCTGGCTCTGCCTCCATAGTGCTGGGATTAAAGGCGTGCGCCACCACCGCCAGGTTGGTCATTTTTGTTAACTGCATTAGTATGAGTGCTTGTTTAACACTAATAGCAACTACTTTCAAATGATTAAGATGTAGTTATTAAATCAATATTAAAGAAATTAGGAGTGGTAAAAATATGAATATGGGTAGCATATGTGGAAAACAAAAATGATAATATACCTATTCTTTATTCCTTATGCCAAAATGAATTCCAGTTGGAAAAAATTAAAATGTAAAATATAGAATATAATTTTTAATAAGTGCATTTTTAATTTTAAAATAATCTTGGAAACGATGGCTCTTCTCTACAGATTGAATACTAGCCTATTGGACTGCAAAAAACATTAAAACTCTGTGAGAGAGTATGCCAAGGGAATAGCTTTAGATAGCAACTTGTAAACATTTATCTTTTATATAATTTCTTTTTTATGAATCTAAATTACAATTTTCTCACTTATGGAGAAAGACATGTGGAGACTGTCCAGACATCCAGTCACTGCTTACAACAGAAAAACAAACAAAACAAGCAGAAATAAAGACCCATTCATTAAAATTGTATTACACTCATAAAATAATGCATTGATTAGGGAACTGGGATTTAACTAACCAGAATAAAAGTATATCTGAGGCATAATGTATATTGATTAAATCAACACATGGAGACCACTCTTTTTTTCCTTGCCGTTCTGAGGACAGAACCAGGGCTTTGCACATGTTAAAACAAGTATGCTACCACCGGACTGAGCTACAGCCCTAGTTCTTGGCCATGTAGTTCAGGCTGGCTTTGAACTCATAAATGGCCAGAACAAGATTTAGTTCTCAGATGTGCTAGTAGGAAAAAATAAGTAAGGTTTGGTTAGCATTGTCACAGTTTTTGACAATGAAATGGTGTCACTTGTTAAACTACGACTTAGCTGACCGTGTTAAAATACATTCTGTGTGAAGGAGGAGCCCCACTAACTCCCCAGTAAGCTATGCTCTGTTAATCTAAACACACAACGGAACTACATGTGCTTTACTAAGATGCTAGATGCTCTTTGTAAAAATCCTAACAGGGAAAAAAGTCACATTCAAGGTCATGAAAATCACCTTAAAGACAGTATACAAAATGTATCACTGCCGTGTTTTTCAGAACATATTCGTTAAGTAACACCAGAGTAAGGGCATGCTAGAAACTGGACTCCTCTGTAATGTATATGCAAAGGGTTTCAAACAAACGTAGTTACTGTGCAAAAAGTCCCCCATTAGTATATGCAGAAAAAATATTAGTTGACTTTCCAGTATTTGTTTAAAATTAATCACAAATATATTTTTGTATCTGATAGACTGTGCATTCCATTCAATGATGAATTAGTCTAATACAGGAAAGACCAGGACTTTGAGGAAGCCAAAACACAGTTCCTGGAGGGAAACTTCAAATAACTGTATATAATATATTATATATAATAATTATACTAGCGGACTGATGCACAGTAGACAGCACACAGTGGACAGCTCACTGGTCTCATGAAGAACTATACAAGTACACACAAAATCTGTAACTGCGGCTGTGGAATAGAAGCGCCAGACCTCAGCACCATGAACAAATGCGCCTTTGGGGCCAGGATCAAGGCTGGCTTTCTTAGGAAGCAGTACTCGGCTGACACATGAAGGATGCAGGAAAGATATCCTGACAGGAAGCAGCACGTACCTAGACCCCGCAGTGGGAGGGAATGGAGCGCTAAGAGCAAACCTGTGTGGCTGGGGCACCGACAGAAGAGAAAGAGGGGAGCTAGGGACACACAGCCAGAGGCTAGCACCCGGATTGCACTCTGCACCCCAATACCCATCAGGAGCCATCAGAGCATTACAAGCAGCAAGAAGACTTGGTCAGAGCTGAACGGTGAAGTCACGATGCTGCACATGTCCACAATGCATGGAGCAGATGCAAGGATACGTGGGCAGCTGCAGCAAGGAAGCGAGAGGCGGCGTCAGCTTCAGGTGGGAAGCAACAGCCTTCACCGTGTCAATCACACAGTGCTGGGGAAAGAGACAGAATATGGCCACACTACTCCAACACGGCAGTCACTGGCCGCAGGCCCTGAGCTGCGCCAGGCACACATAGTGTTTACATTTTAGTAGGGAATAAACCTTAAAATCACTTCTACAGAAGTCCCACCAGCCCCATTTCAAATGCTCCAGGGTTCATGGTGTCAACCCCCTGGTTACCGTACTGGGTGTCACCAGGGGTTACAGAAGGAATGGGAGGCAGGAGGCAGAGAAATCAAAACGAGAGTGGCAAAGAGAAAAAGAACTAGGAAAGAAAAAAAGAAAAAGCGAATCTGGAAAGCACGTGTGTGACAGAGGAGAGTAAGTGTGTTCTAGTGGAAATGGGGCGCTCAGTCCCATGGGGCCTGGCCCAGCACTTAATCAGCACTGCTGGCTCATGAGAGGCAGGAAGGGACTACACGTACCAAGGACAGGAGATTCCTGCTTCTAACAGACCAGAAGCGGGTGAAGGGGATGCAGACAGGCAGAAGTGCTTGGCAACAAGAGAAGCCATCTCCTGGCAGAGCTCTAAAGAGAGCAAGAGGGGCTGGGGGGCGGGGGGCTGGCTGGCTCTGCAGAGAACAGAAATGTATGGAGCAGGGAAACTTGGCAGGAGAGGTTTGAGGGCCCCGAAAGGTCAGTGACCAGGAATTGAAGTGGTGCCAACCTGGCTGGCCTACCAGTCCTGAGCAGATGAAGAGAAAGCATTGGACTAAATTCTTAACAGCTAAAGTTTAGAGAGAAGAGTTAGCAATAGACCCAGATGTCAAGAAAACTGAAGCCTGCCTCATCTGGGGAGGACTCTAACACAAAATTAAATGCAGGGCTCTGAAAAGAGTTTACTTAAAGAGACCTTAGCCTTGCTGTAAATTGGCCTCTGAGAGGAACAGAATAAGGTCAGAGGACAGCCGGGTTTGAGAAGCAGCAGGGCCTGAGCTGGACCAAAGCAAACTCCAGAAAGAGCAAGGCAGCAGCTATGCTGGGGATGCATGGGCACAGAGTGTCCGAGCCTGGGGCTTCCAGGACTGAGCGAAGCCAGGGCCGGGGCTGGAAGTGACAGATCAATCAAGTTCATAAAAGTGCCACAGAGCCCAAGGGCTTCATCCTGTTTTGATTTTTTTTCCCCCACAAACAGTGGAGGAGAAGCAAGGACACCAACCCCCTCTTAACCCAGCTGTGTGGGAAATGAGGACTACCGTGGACTGAGGCTGCCCAGACAGAAGCAGCCTGCGTAGAGAGCCGGGTTTGCCAGTCACAAGTTCTTTATCATGCCTAATTCCGTGATATTACTTCATAAAAACTAGAAGTCAAGGTTGCTCAAGCTATCTGCTTCCTGCGCTTTACTTAGAATTATGGGATGGTGAGCTATTGCTTGAAGACAGAATATGAAAATATAGAAATACCTGAACACTGAAGTTGAGACAGAATTTGGGCACCTTCGAAGTGGTGACTTGTCATCTTTAAGTTGGGTTTGATGCAGCGAATGAAGCTTGCTCCCTGAAAGAATAAGAAATACTTTTTAAGGTTGTACGTATAGCATCTTTACATTTCTGTACCTATGAACACCACCAACTTTCACAACACATTCATGTTAACAACACATAATAACTACAAAGGGACTTAGAGTTTTATTGTCATAGTTCTATAATTTGAACCTTGAAATGAATGCCTACACTTTAAATATTAGCAAGATGGCATTTTAGTTTTGAATGTCAAAAATCATTTTGAAAAGTCTTTCACTGCAAAGAATTTCATCTCATTTGAACAATGCACTCTGTAGGCTTAACTCGATCTCCTCATGGAGGGTTTGGCTTTTTGTTTTTCAGGGCAGGGCCTTGCATACACACAGGCAAACATTCTATCACTTAGCTAGATCTCTGGCCTCTACAGAGGCGGGGAAGGGAAATAAAAATAATGCCATTTAAAATTTAGGCTAAAATGTAAGCAAACAAAACACAAACATAAATCAGTATGTTCATTCAACTTCAAGGATATACAGGTCTCCAATGGCATCACTGTGTGTTTTGTTTGTTAAGTAATATTTTCAAAACTTAAGGGCTTCCATGTGGTGATCATATTTCACTGAACGAGGCAGAAAGAATATTGTTTGTACCACAATGGAAGTGCTGTGTGCAGAAGATAACGTAGCAGACAGTCAACCAGCTGCTTCTCTTCAAAGTGGCCACCATACAGCCCTGAATAACTATTTCAATAATGATGCTCACCACAGACACTTGGATGACATGTTTCTACAAACCATAATCACCTCATCATTTTAGAGCAGTGCACTCTGGGAAATGAAAATAAAACAACCTCCTCATAAGACTTGACATTTGAAAAGTACTCAAAGGAAGGAAGAGGGCGGGTGAACTGGATCAAATACATTATACACATGTATGAATTTCTCAAAAAATATTATATTTTTACAAGATGCTTAGCTCTTATGAGTCAAATATTTTGGACTCGGAAACTTCATGATTTTCTGGATGGCTCCAAAGGCAAATTCATCAGTAAGTAAAGCAGTAACAGCTTAGACAGAGTGACCATTTGGCTGCTGGAAATGGCTGGTGACTTAAAGGGAAGAGTATGAAGTTGAACTCTGATATGTATAAAAAAAAAAAAAAAAAAAAAAAAGCCTTTCCTTGGAATCCCAATTTTTCTATATAACCCACATATTCATTGTCTTTCTTTTTCATTTTGTTTTTATAAAGACAAACTCTCACTTTGTAAGCCAACCTGGCCTCAAACTTAAGAGCCTCTGGCCTCAACTTCCCAAATTCTAGGACTGCCAGGTGTGTGCCACCATACTCAGCAATTAGGATTTCTTTCTACATGTGTTTCATTTTTCCATCAAAACACTGGGTGAACCTGGGTATAGTAAGTCACACCTATAATCCCTGGGACACTGGGGCAAAGACAGGGTCATTGTAAGTTCAGGGCCAGCCTGAGCTATATAAGGAGACCCTGTCCAAAATTTGTAAGAAAAAAAAAAAACCACTCAAGAACCAAGTGTATAGCTTAGTGGTAGAGCATTTGTATAGCATGTGTAAGATCCTAGGTTCAATACCAACCACCACCAAAAAAACAACTAGAAAAACAATACCAGGGTGAATCAATAAAATGTAGTTAAAAGATGAACTTGTAGTAAGCTTGGTATGTATAAAGGACAGAAAAGTATTGAGTTCATTTTTGTCTGTAGCACACTGTCATGTCTGAAGAGTCTTACTATAATAAATTGCACGTTTTATCTTTAATATTAAAATGTCTCTTTTTTTATAATTACTATTTTCAATTTTGAGAAATCTTCATTTATTTACCACAAAGACTTCCAAATAATTTTACTTCACATGCAAACGTGACCTGTCTTTTAAAAAAATCCAACATAAATCCTCCTACAGTGAACCTGATAGAGAAAGTAGGAAGTAGCCTAGAATGCACTGGCACAGAAAACCACTTCCTAAATATAACACCAGTAGCACAGACACTGAGAGCAGCAATTAATAAATGGGACCTCTTAAAACTGAGAAGCTTCTGTAAGGCAAAGGACACAGTAAATGAGACAAAACGACAGCCTACAGAATGGGAAAAGGTCTTCACCAACCCCACATCTGACAGAGGGCTAATATCCAGAATATATAAGGAACTCAAGAAATTAGACATCAAAATGTCCAACAGTCCAATTAAAAAATGTGCTATAGAGATAAACAGAATTCTCAACAGAAGAATCCCAAATGGCCAAAAGACATTTAAGAAATTGTTCAACATCCTTAGTCATCAGGGAAATGCAAATCAAAATGACTCTGAGATACCATCTTAACACCTGTCAAAATGGCTAAGATAAAAAACACTGATGACAGCTTATGTTGGAAAGGGTGTGGAGCAAGGAGAACGTTCCTCCACTGTTAATGGGAGTGAAAACTTTTACAGCCACTTTGGAAATTAGTATGATGGTTTCTCAGAAAATTGGGAATCAATCTACCTTAAAACCCAATGATACCCACTCTTGGGCATATACCCAAGGAACACTCAATCATATCACAAGGATACTTGCTCAACTATGTTCATAGCAGCATTATTCATAATAGCCAGAACCTGGAAGCAACCTAGATGCCTCTCAACCAAAGAATGGATAAAGAAAATGTGGTACATATACACAATGGAGTATTACTCAGCTGGAAAAAAACAATGTCATGAAATTTGCAGGCAAATGAATGGAACTAGAAAATATCATCCTGAGTGAGGTAACCCAGACTCAGAAAGATAAACACAGTATGTACTCAACTCATAAGTGGATACTAGAGGTAAAGCAAAGGATAACCAGACTACAACCCACAGCTCAAGAGATGCTAGGAAACAAGGAGGACCCTAAGAGGGATCACCTTGGGAAGGGGAAACAAATGAGATCTCCATTAGTAAACTGTGGATAAGGGGGGCAATGGAAGAGAGGGGATGGGAGATGAGAACATGAGGGAACGGAATGGTCGAGCTTGGGGAGGGACGGAGTGAGAGAGCAATGAAAGAGATATCTTGATAGAGGGAGACATTATGGTATAAGGGAGAAATTATGGGGTAAGGGAAAAACTGGGTGCTAGGGAAATTCCCAGGAATCCACAAGGATGACCCCAGCTTATACTACTAGCAATAGTGTTGAGGGTGCCTGAACTGGCCTGCCCTGGGAATCAGATTGGTGAATACCCTAACTGTCATCATAGAGCCTACAGCCAGTAACAGATGGAAGCAGATGTAGAGATCCACAACCAAGCACCAGGCCAAGCTCTGGGAGTCCAGTCGAACAGAGAGAAGGATTATATATGAGCAAGGGGGGTCAGTATCATGATAGAGAAATTTACAGAGACAACTGAACCAAGCTCAAAGGAACTCATGAACTTTAGACCAAGAGCTGTGGAACCTGCATGGGACCAGACTAGACCCTCTGCATACAGGAGACAGTAGTGTAGCTGGGTCTGTTTGAGGGGTCCCTGGCAGTGGGATCAGGATCTATCCCTGGTGCATGAGCTGGCTTTCTGGATCCTGTTACCTATGCTCGGACACCTTGCTCACCCTTGATGCAAAGGAGAGTGACTTGGTCCTTCCTCAACTGAATGTACCAGTTTTTGCTGTCGCCTGCTCCTCCATAGGAGGACTTACCCTTTTGGAGGAAGGGATGGGATGTGAGGTGGGTCAGAGAGGAAGGCAGGGAAGGAGTAGGAGGAGGGATGAGAGGGGAATCTGTGGTTGATATGTAAAAAATGAATAAAAAATTTTTAAAAAACTAATAATAAACATCTTACCATCTCAAAAGCTGACTGTTTGTGTATGTGGGTGTGGGTGTAGGTGTGGCTGTGGCTGTGGGTATGTATGCATGTGGGGGTGTGGTTTTGGGTATGGCTGGGTGTGTCTGTGGCTATGTGTGCATATGTTGGGGTGTGCACTGGGGCTGGCATCCCGAACCTCATGCTTACGAGCTAAAAGTCTAGGATTGAGTTAAATTCCAGCCCTCTAAAAACCGAGTTCTTTTTGAAAGAGAATGTGGTTTAAAATACACCTCTCATTATCCAAGGGTTACTGTGCTTACTTGAATAACCACTAATAATCATTTCAAAAGACCATTTTAAAAACATGTTTTCTTCTTAAGCATACTCACAGTACTTCGGAGTTTATCCAGAAGCAAATTTAACTGTGTCTAGAAAAGAAAGAAGACAAGATTATTTTAAAAAATCAAAATGCACAGTGGAAATGAATTAATACTGACTTGCCACTATTAGAGTAAAATAACATGCAAAAACATCCACATGTAACATATTATAATAACCTGGCACACAAACTCTGTAACAGGCAGCATCATGCAAAGTGGCTAATGAAATGTCAAGGACAACAACTTACATTATTAACACAGAACTTATATAATTAAGGCTGAAAATTAGTAACAGTAACAAAGAAGATGAATAAGGAAAACTATATGAGCAATGAAGGGAAGCACGTGAAGATGGGGGGGTATACTCAGTGTGAAAGCTGCAGTGCAGTATCTGAGTATGGGGCCAACAAGGCACCGCTGTGTCACATGCTATGAAGGCTGAGGTGTTTAAAATGAGCACCGTGTGTACAGCAGGATTAGCTCATGCAGCATAGCAAAACAAAACTGCTTTATCTAGCTTCAGAAATTCTCTTCCCTATTTTAAAATGTTATATATTTCAAGTGCTTTTAAAACTCAACAATTTCCTTAAAATATTTTTCACAGTGAATACAGTTACCATGCTTTCCTAGTTTCATAATACTGATTATAATTTACCATGGCTCAGTGTGCTTAAATTATGTTTGTTTTCCTAGTCTACAAAGTAATTTTATGCTGAAACGCTTATTATGCTACTTGGAAAATACAAATTAAGATGCTAATCCTGAAATTAACATATTGTGTTGTGCATAGCTATAATTAATAGTAACATGTAGACTTTGCTGAATGCTTTTCCGTGAGGCAATGCTCAAAGAAAGCTTTTCCTAAGTGTTGTTATATTTAATCCAACGAAGAATACAGCACAATGAACCTAATTAAGAATAGATTATTAGCCTCGTTATACAGGTATTATTAAGATCTAAGGAGAAAAAAATGATGTGTCTGAGACCATGGAGCTAGCAATGGCAAAGCCCTGACATCAAAGTTCATTCTCTTACTGTGTTATTAGAATAAAATGAATTTGTCATGGGACTGAAGAGTACAGTCACATGCACAAAACTAGTTGACAGAAGTCAACATCACATATAACTAGGTGACAGAAGTCAACATCACACATAACTAGTTGACAGAAGTCAACATCAGTCTATACCCCAGACAACTGAAAAGCAAGTCAACAGCCTCTTTGAAAAGAAAGCAACGGTTATAAATCCACTCTTTTTAAGCTATAGACAAAGTGTGCTGTTTTGTTCAAAAAAAAAAAAATGGAGATAAAGTCAGAATAGTAGAAGGAAAAATTAAATAGCCACAGCTGAGAAAATAGAAAAAAAGTCCATTAACACAAGCCAAAGCCCAGAAGCAGGAGTACTCTTGGCAAATCAGGCTTCATGTGCATTTTTTATATAATTATTTTTAGATTTGATGTTAACTATGTATACATGTGTGCATGTTGCAGTGAGTGCAGTTACCCTCAGAGGCTAGAGGCTTCAGATTCCCCAGAACTAGTTCCAGGCACATGTGAATCACCTGATGTGGGAACTGGGAACAGAACTTGGGTCCTCTGCAAGAGCAGTACACACCCAACCTCTAAGCCATCTCTCTAGCCTTTATTTTATTTATTTATTTTTAAAGACACAAATATTCGTGTTTAATTACTTTTTCTAAAACACTATCAGTAAGTGGTGGAAAAATGCTTGGTCCCACGGCACTGGATAACTGGTGTGTTACTGCAACGGAGCCTGCTTTCTGTTTGTCTTAGACAGCTCACATTTAATTTAACGAGCTATTGAAGTATCTTTAAAGTTAAGAGTCCTATTAAGATTTCATATCAGCCCAGAACGGTAGCGCATGTCTTTAATCCCAGCACTCAGGAGGCAGATGCCAGTGGATTTCTGTGAGTGCAAGGTCATCCTATTATGAGTTTCAGATCAGCCAAAGCTACATAATGAGACCCTGTTTCTGAATTTAAGAAAACTTCATTCTAAAGCATATCAGAGAAAAACATGTGGAATATTTTATTCCTATCAGAGTTTTTGCAATCAGTGCAAAAGGTAGATATTATATATAAATAGTTACAAGGTATTTAAACCCTCCAGTTAAAGATTATTTATATTGTTTATCATTTTAAGTACATTTTTAGTAGCAATATCACTATATTCATATGAGATGATGTGATTTGTTTCCTGAGGAGGGGTCTGATGGTTATGTTCCCCAGCCTGGCCCTGAGTGCCTAAGCTCAAGTGATCCTCCTTGTTGGTCTCCTGAGTCACCTGGGACCACGGGAGCCATGACACCACACTTAGCCCATGTGCTGTTTTCAGACCAACCTGTTATCAAATGTTTAATCTGGAATGGAAAAATACTAGATAAAAAATATTGACACTGAGTATATCAAGAACTTATAATTAATACATCTTAATTTGTTTGAATACAAAATTCAAACCTTCACATTCAGCGACTTAAAAATGTTTTATGATTATTCTTCAATATTTATATTTTGAAAGCTTTGAAAAGAAACTTGGCTTTTAGAAATGTAAGCATCAAGTTAGATATTTAGGATCCATGTCAATTCTTTCTTTCTTTCTTTCTTTTTTTTTGTTTTGTTTTGTTTTGTTCGTCTGATTTGAGTTTTGGCTTTGAGACAAGGTCTCACATAGCTCAGGCTGATCTTGATCCAGGTACCAGAGACTAGCCTTGAACTCCTGATCCTCCTAGCTCTAATTCCCCTGATCTGGGATTACAGACATGTGTCACCAAGCCCAGGTTAGGGCCCATTTCAACCCAAAAGGGATTTGAGGTTTGTGCTACTAGTAGTACCACAGTACTATTTATATAAGTGGTTCTTAACTTGTAGGTTATGACCTGTTTGGGGTTAACTGACCCTTTCAAACGGGTCACATATCAGATGTCCTGCATATCAAGTATTTACATTATGATTCATAACAGTAGCAAAATTACAGTTATGAAGTAGCAATGAAAATAATTTTATAGTTAGGGTCACCACAACATGAGGAACTGTAGTAAAGAGTCACAGAATTAGGAAGGTTAAGAACCACTGCTTTATATAAATACTGTTCTTAATTATATCATTTTTAATATTTAAAGTATGCATTTCAAAAGGCAAAATGCAGTTGTATAGAAAATATAGTGATACTTACTGGAAATATACAGAGAATTTGATTGTATTTCTTTGTTCTACACATTGCAATTATTTACTAAAGGTTTTTCTATACTAAGCAATGATTATAAGCAATACTGAACAATAATTAACAGCTTTCTATCACTAAAACACACCTTGTTTTGAAACATTCCTTTTTAGATTTTAAGAATTAATTTCTGATTCAAAATTAATAAAATAAATTATTCTTTAACATTAGATAAGCAAATTAAAGAGTTTTCCACACCAGAGCACTTCTCTTTTTATAAAAGTATTCAAAAGCTGTAATTAAATTTTACTGTAATATGCATGCCCATGATGCCACGAGAGACACTGCGTTGAAAATGAATCACAAACAGAACCATTAACTTGGGACGGGCTCCTTAGCATAGCAGCCATGCTGTGAAGGCGATCATTTACCTGCAGCCTGGATGTGCCTGCTTTTCCTCTCTCAACTCAACTAGTCCTCTCTAGCCAGCTGGAGCTGAACTACTGCAGCTAAACAGAACTGCTGAATAAGGAAGGGAACAGAAAACATGTGGGAAAGAGAAGGCTTGAAGGTCACCCAGGCAGTATGCAGAAGCAAGAACATTAGGAGAATCAATCAGATTGCTGTGTGCAAACACAGTCTGGAAATACAAGCATCTCTGTAGACTCGGTTACTATGACCACAATCAGATGGTACATACAAGCATCGATAATGCAGGGTCTTCTCTTGAGACATACCTGGGGCACTTCCATGCTCTACATGATCCACTTTACAATATAAAACAATGGTTTTTATTTTAAATACAGCCAAAACAAAACCCTTCAATTAAGTTATGTAGCACAACTACCTTGAACTTGTTTCCCACGCTGATGAAGCTAAGTTTTCCTGCCTTTTGTTTCGTATCTTTGTTGTTATTTGTGGATGATTCAAATAATGCCCGTATAAACTTATCCCTGGATTCACAAATCAAGGATTCAAGAGACATATGGAGTGCGTCATTATTTTTCTCCACAAATTGGGTCTGAAAAAAAAATCAAATAAATTGTTTCCATCCACATTGTGATAAACATCCCCTAACTGATCTCTGAGAAAACACAAATGTTCTGTTTCCACGCTGACCAAGAGAGCAGGCCACTTCAGTGTGGGTGATTAGTGCATCAAGGAGCTGAATTTGTAAAGCTATTCGAGTGCAAAAAGCCAGAGGCTGCCGTACTGCAGTGTGGCTTCAACACCAACCATTTTCTGCTAAGCAATGTTGTACTCACTGTCTCATAGCACACTGCTCCTGCAAAGTGCCTGATGATAAAACCTTCATCGTCTCTGAGGTTCCTGTGCACTGCCAGCTTCGACTTCCTGGGAATCTGAGGGGAAAGTGCAGATAGGTAGAAGTTACCACATTAAGAAAAGACTGTCAGTGACTTTCCTTAGACAATCCCAGGTGCAGATTACCTGAAATAATAAGACAAGTTTCACATTTCTCATAATTATACTATGTTTAAATGTCAGGAACACGTTAAATTACTTGTGGAATCTAATCAACATTTGCTTGTGTCTTAGTGAAAAAAAAATTGGTGTAAAAGCAAAACATACACACATGTATACCTGCCCCACAGGAAACACACACACACACATGCCTGCCACACACAAAACATACACTCATATGACTGCCACACACAAAACAAATACACACATCCCTGCCACACAAAAAACATATACACATGCATACCTCCTACACTCAAAACATATACTCACATGCCTGACACACACAAAACATATACACATGCATGTCTGGTACACACAAAACACACATGTGCACAAACTATCACACACAGAACATACACATGTACACTTGTCACACACAAAACACATACACACATACACACACACACATGCCACACACAAAACACATATACATGCATGAATGTCACACACAAAATATATACACATAGATGAATGCCACATACAAAATATACATACATGGATGGATGCCATATACAAAGCATACACACATCCATGCCTGCCATACACAAAAACTCGGTTAAAAGTGCTTCCAAAGGCCTTGAGTTTGGTTTCAAGTAACCATGTCTAGCAGCCCAAAACTACTGCCACTCTAGGTGATCCAACACCTTTTCCTGGACTCTGCAGGCACTACGCTGGTGTGCACATACCCACAGACAGACACATATAAAAATAAAACCTCTTTAAAAATAAAACTTTATTTGAAAGCAAACACAAAACACAGTTGCAATTTTTGTGAAATTAGCCACCTGTTTCTAAAGCTCCATCTTCATGCTTATTAGAATCACTCAGAGGGTTTAAACCTCCCTCACCCCATGGTGTTGGTATAGGATGATTCTCAAGTGCAGCCAGGAAGAAAACCATGAGGTCAGCACAAGGACACTTCCGGTGTCTCAAATCAACCATCCTAACACTTTCCACAGTGAGCCTGAAACTACCTCAAGGAAACTACACCATTCTAGGATAGCAGCATTTAATTACAGTATCACATATTTGAATTATTTAAACTTCCAAAATACTTTCACATCCATGATCACAGTTGTCTCTAGAACTAATCCAAGGGGAAAGAGACAGTACCATTTAAAATGGACAGACTGAGCTGTGGGACCTGAGGTCTGAGCTCTTTGAAAAGAGACAGGGCAATCTCTCAGGAGCCAGAATGGAGACTCTGCTGCTACACCACCTTGCCTGCCTGCTAACCCACCCCACCCTCACATGCCATCAAGGCATGTCACTTACCTCCCCTTCCTGTCTCTCATCTGTGACATAAAGATACTAATAGGATTAAATAAAGTTATTCAGGTAAAAGCATGGGGACAATGCGAAGTGTTTCATGAATGGCCATCACGTTTAATTTAAAGAAAAAAAATAGCAAACTAACGCCTCTGTAAATCAGGATTTATTGCATTGTTCTTGCTTGGTCTCCCTGAGAAAGCAGCCAGGCCTCATTCCTGACACTTGAGCGTGCTGTCTTTAAGTTACACACCTCTGAGATTACTCTGGCCACAGTTATGCTGACTGAGATTAGCACCCTTGGTGAGGCAACCACGCATCACAGGCCATATATCAAACCACCATAAACAAGCAAGACTCAGTACACAGCTTCAATATTAGCAGAAGTTTCATTACAGATACATATTGTTTTGTTTCTTTCCACCAAAGTACTAAAAACAGGCTGTGCATTATGATAACTACTAGGGATAGGTAAGAACTGTAAGTCAAAGAGAAGGTGCTTCTGAGGGTTTGAACACGAGTTTTTCCAGTAAAGCCACTGAGTCTATCTTCCACTGATGTTTATTATTTTTTAATTGGCTTTTAAACTGTCTTTGCCTCTTTTTTAACATATTAATGGGTCTCTAGTAACACTTGGTGTATATACGCACTGTTGTTTTGTTAATAATGAACACAAGTGAGCATATTTGTTACCATTCATTTAAGCAGCTTGACCATCAAAGCAGTGACCATTACTCTATTTTACAACTTCAAAACACACACGGTTAATGGAGGCATCTGCCAACGTGTACCCTAAGCCCACTAAGCAACTCTAAGTAGCTTCTCTCATTTCTTTTTCGGTCTTCTTTTGAGGGAGTGGGGAGAGTCCTGCTGATATGAAGTAGCATCTACCTTCACGACTGAAACTCAAGTCAGCGTTTCTGGGCTGGTCAGGCTTTCTGCACTGGGGTGAAGCGATGTCTGGATTGTGTCAGGAGATGGTGGTTGAGGGGAAGGCTTAGCACAGAGTTGGAGGAACACATAAAACTGTTTAAACAGCCACAAATGCCAGGTTCCCAGAGGACAGTTTCACTTTCACTGCCACGAGCATTCAAGAGCCAACAGCAGCTCAGCCACCCGGGCACTTATTTCTACCCCTCGCCTTGTCTCTTCTTCCCTTTAGACGACCTGATCTTCCTACCAATTCAGTATCATTTCCCTGTCTGGGTGCACGAGCTACTGCACTCAGCTAAAGCTTTACTGGAAAATATGTATATATGCACACACACACACACACACACACACACACACACACACACACACACACAATTTTATGGCCGTCTATATAGGAAATATTTGCTGGTTATAACCTAGTTGCTCTAATCTTTGGATAATTTCTGACTCTAGTTGTTAACAGTATCTGAAATCTAGTGCAGCTGTTTGCTTAAAGATTTCTCTTCCCAGCAGAAGATCCCTTTTAGAATGGTAAACTCACAGTGAGTCGGAAATGGTCTTTGTGCTTCTGGTGAACTGCAGATGTAAAGTGCTGGTCACTCGGCTGGGGAAGACGATTTTCTTCATCCAGAATATCCAGGATTCCCACTAATTTCACTTCAATTAAATCTATTTCAAGACATCAAAACATTCATAGTGGTGAAACAACACTTAAAAGAAAATTTACTCAGTTTCAAGAAGTATTTGGAAATAAGGTAAGAGTTAATCATGAGCATATTCTATCGGAGGCTATCTAGACATGGGAGAGTTTAAATTTCAAATATGAGCATTTATTTAAAGGTAATACCAAGCCGGGCAGTGTTGGCGCACGCCTTTAATCCCAGCACTCGGGAGGCAGAGCCAGGCAGATCTCTGTGAGTTCGAGGCCAGCCTGGTCTACGGAGTGAGTTCCAGGAAAGACACAAAACTATACAGAGAAATTCTGTCTTAGAAAACCAAAAAAAAAAAAAAAGGTAATACCATAGTTTTAATACAAGCTCTGGAAAAACAACTTCACAAAGAAAGTGACTGTTCAGCTACTGTATCTATGGCCCCAGGAATGTAACAGAAGGGGGTGAGGGATTGTTAGGGCCGGAATGCCAGGAAGTCTGCTGTGAAACTGTCTCTCCTAGACATGGCTGCGGAAATGAGACTGGAACAAGGCAGTATCAGTAGACACATTAATGTGGAGAGGGGAAATTTTTGTGTGGTCCTGCCCCTAGACAAAGAACTACAGGAAACTAATGAGTTTGGGAGGAAGGAGAATTAGCCTCTCCCCAAAATTAGCCCCCTTATTGGTTGTCCAATACATAGCAGTCAGCCTTGAAACCGTATATATACAAACAACAAAACGGACTTAGCAGATTATACATATTTGTGTGTGTGTGTGTGTGTGTGTGTGTGTGTATTTCTGCGCACACACGCACGAGCATGTATAGATATATGTGTATAATAATAAAGGCCAAGTAGTGGTGGCGCACGCCTTTAATCCCAGCACCCAGGAGGCAGAGTCAGGTGGATCTTTGTGAGCTCGAGGCCAGCCTGGGCTACAGAGTTCCAGGAAAGGCTCCAAAGCTACACAGAGAAACTCTGTCTCGAAAAAACCTAAATAAATAAATAAATATAAAAGAAAAGGGTCTATTAACTTGAAAGGGAGCATGGGAGGAGTTTGAGGGAAGGTGGCTGGGAGAGGCTGGAGGGGGAAGGAAAGGGGAAAGTGATGTAACGCAATTGCAATCTAAAACAATTTTAAAAAATGTTTTTCAAAGAAGGTAACTGATACCATAAGCATTCCTTGTGTTCACTAGGATAACAGTCTAAGGACCCAGAACCTCCCTCTTTTCCAGATGACATCTACATTCAAACTCAAAACTGTAGAAGTTTTTGCACACAGAGTTTCTTTCTTTTTTCCTTTTTTTTTTTTTTTTTTTTTTTTTTTT